AAAAAAACCCAGGAAAACATGCTGCAACCACGAACCACAAGAACATAGTATATAAATGAATATTTCAAGAGAAAAGGGAGGGGCTGGGATTGTGGCTCAGTGGTAGAGCATGCACCTAGCACATGTGAGGCACTGGGTTCTATCCTCAGCACCACATAAAGATAAATAAATAAAGGTATTATGTCCATCTACAACTAAAAAAATATCTTTAAAAAAAAGTTTTGGGTGCGATGGTACACACCTGTAATCCCAGTGGCTGGCAAGGCTGAGGCAGGAGGATCACGAGTTCAAAGCCAGCCTCAGCAAAAGAAAARTAATAAGCAACTCAGTGAGACCATGTCTCTAAATAAAACACAAAAATAGGGCTGGGGATGTAGCTCAGTGGGGATGTAACTCAAGTGTCCCTGAGTTCAACTCCAGTGCCAAAAAAGAAAAGAAAAAAGGGAGTGCCTTCAAATTAACTATATATAAGAGCTGAAATGAAGGATTCAACGCCCAGGTTACAGGAGGAGATTGAAGAGAAGGCTCAGGAAGCGAAGCCCAAGCAGGAGAGATGTCATGGGAGTCAGGCAACCATGCCAGGAGGCCCAGCAGCTGCTGATGTGCACCCTGCAACAGGGAAAGCAGAATTAACCAATTCAGGAGAACGCCCTAGAGCTCTAAGACTAGATCTCTGGCTGAGACCTGCCAGTGCCCCATCCTAGAGACGGAAAAGAGACCCAAGGCCAGGCACAGATTAATGTCAACCTCAGAACACTAGGGCCAGAGAGTTCTCAAGAGCATCCAGAGAAGGACAACAAGCTCCATACCGAGGATCAATAGCGAGAATGCATCTGACATCCCAAGGCAGCACTCAGGCAGCACTCTGAAGGAAACTCTGCCCCTGGCCCAATGATCAACCTACAGCAGGGGCACAGTTCTGTATCTGGCCTCCTGTGTCCCTGTCCCAGCAAGCAGTAGATGCCACCCTCTGTCAAACAGGAGTCAAGCACAGGCCAGAGATGCAGGACCTGCCCTACCAGCCCAGAGGCCAAGGCAACCCTGGGAGACAGAGGAGATTAAGGGCCAACTCCCCGCTAGGGAAAATAAGCCCTCTGTCCTGGGAGACTCTTCAGAGACATCCACTCAGATAGCTGGTTCAGTTTGGGGCTGAATTTGAAATAAACACGATGAAAAAGGGGAAAAGAAAGTACCAAGGCAAGAAATGCATTTCCACCAGCTACAGAAACTTTATGCCAGAACCGTGGAGTGGCCGTGGTCCACCGCACGGCTCGCCTGTGAATCCTGTGTTCACACCATGGCGAAGGCCTGACCCTGGAGAAGGTACAGTAACTCAGGACACCACTGGCAGTGACAGAGCAGCAAGCAGCCTCATGTGCAGGGCACAGACTGGAGAAAGATCTCCCCTCCCCTCCTTGGGAAGCCAGCATAGGACACTGACACTGGGAAATCGGGGACATCGACGGGTGTAGAGGCACACAAACAAGAATGTACAAGGGGAAGCTGCTTCCCTGGGCAAACGCATTGAAAACTGGGTCAAGAATGTTTTTTAAAAGCTTCTCCCTGAAAAATAAGGCCCCTCTATTTGTGGCCTGCTTCATCCCCGTGACAGCCCTCAAGGGTTCCCAGCACAACTGCGGGAGCAGTACCTTGGACGAGATGCTTCACCTTCCCACACAGCCTCAGGAGGCTGTCCACCTGTCTCTTCTCTCTCTTCAGAAACATGACTTCGCCCATCCTCCAGTCCAGTGTCTCTTCCATGTCACAATTTTTCTGTTGGAATGAAGAACTTTCTGTCTCTGGAAAACAATGACAAAGTCAGCCAAAGGAAAC